AAGCCTCACCAATAGGATGAATGAAATGGAAAACAGAATATCAAGACTGGAAGATAAAGTGGACGAATTAGAACACTCAAGCAAAGATTATGAAAAATTTAAAAAAACACAGGAAGGGAATAGGCGAGAATTGTGTGACACCATAAAAAAACCAAACTTAAGAATCATAGGCATATAGGAAGAAGAATCTCAAGATAATGGTATGGAATAGATCTTCATCAGGACTGTAGAAGAAAATTTCTCAAAATTAAAAAAAAAGACATGCCCATACAAATACAAGAAGCATATAGAACACCAAATAGACAGGACCAGAAAAGAAACTCTACATGGCACATTGTATAATAACACCAAACATTCAGAACAAAGAGACAATACTGAAAGCTGCAAAAGAAAAACAAAAATCACATATAAAGGAAAATCCATCAGGATTACAGCTCACTTCTCAGTGCAAACTATGAAAGCCAGAAGAGCCTGGACAAAGTATTCCCAGCTCTAAATGATCACAGATGCCAACCCAGATTACTTTACCCAGCCAAAATGTCTATCATAGTTAGAGGGGAAAGAAAAATCTTCCATTTCCATGACATATATATGCTGAAAGAATTCATGTCCACAAAATCAGCCTTTCAGGGAATTTTTGAAGCAATACAAAGAGCTGAAGAAAGGAATGACTATACTCAAGGGGTTATGGAAAGAAATTCAATGAAGATATAACTGTGGAAATGCACAGCTATATAAAAAATATGAATAAAAATAAAAATGACAGGATTTAATATACATCTTTCATTAATAACTTTAAATATCAATGGACTGAATTCTCCAGTCAAAAGACACAGACTGGTTGAACGGATTAAGAAACAAAACCCATCTTTTTGTTGTCTACAAGAAACTCATCTCACTTTCAAGGACAGGCACTACATTAAGGTGAAAAGATGGAAAAAAATATACTAAGCAAATGGTACTAAGAAAAAAGCAGGCATTGCAATTCTAATATCTGATAAAATGCACTTTAAACTAAAACTAATCAGAAAAGACATTTTAGGCCATTTCATTTTGATCAAAGGAACAATGAATCAAGAAGATATTACAATCATGAACATATATTCACCAAACCCTGGTGCACCCAACTTCATAAAAAAAAATACTACAGGACTTCAAGACTCAAATTAACACCAACTCATTAATAGTAGGGGACTTCAATCATTAAGTACGTCAATAGGGCACAGAGTTAACAGAGAGACATCTGAATTAAACAATACCATATATCAAATGGACTTAACAGACATCTACCAAGTATTCCACCCAAGCACCAAAGGACATACTTTCTACTCAGCACCCCATTGAACCTTCTCCAAAATTGACCATATGCTGGGGCACAAAACAAACCTCAACAAATGCAAAAAGAATGAAATAATTCCATGCATTCTATAAGAACACAATGCAATAAAGCTTACAATCAACACCAGAAGAAGCCCTAATCACCACATGAACACATGGAGATTAAACAACACACTCCTGAATGATGAATGAGTCAAAAGAGAAATTAAGAAAGAAAGAAA